CTGAAACCTGGATGAATCCCCTGAAACCTGGGTGAATCCCCTGAAACGTAACTGGGGAAGACGGGAAGATGTTTCCCGGGTTGGACAGAAAGTCCATGAAAGTTTTGTCCAAGATCAGCGTCCCCATCACTTGGATCAGCCCCACCTGGTCAGACGCATTTCAAGCACGTGGATCAGCAGCCTGTGGTGCAACTCTCTTCCGACGCAAGCCTCCAGGCCGGATGAAGTCAAGCACCCAAAGTAGAAGTCATGTGCAACATCGTGACAACTAAGTTGTGTTTTCATACAACATCTCTCAGACTCACTGAAGGACATATACTTTGGCACACAGCGGCTCACTAAGTAGCATCAAGTAGCTAAACTGGTGCTATTATGGTGAGAGATTGCTCAATCCGGACTCCAGATGCTCCCGTTCTCCGCTCTCAACACGGCACATGCCAAGAGAGATGGTTCCCTCCATCCACCCCGGTGCGTTGTGGTCGTTTTGGAGGTGCAGAAGACCATGGTAAGTCCGTGTTATCTCAGGTCGTCTCCGAGTCTTGGATCCTTTGGGTCCCTGCGATATCCAGCGGGCCCTCACGTGCTGGTCGATCATGAAACATGATGCGGGTCAAGGAACGGGGAACATGTGTCACGTGTCACTGGAGACCTCAGCAGTCCTTGTGATGTTCAGCAGGCAATTCTAAGGTTGATAGGACAGATCGGGGAAGCCTCTTGCGAGTCCCAAGTGGGTGAAATCAGAAGTGAAGAACGTGTTCATGTTGCCTTCAGAAACGCACCAGGAAATACAACATGATCCAATACGATCAGGACCCTCAACTGGTGCTGAAAACCATACCCCTTCACCATACCCCTTGGGGCCCATTCATGAAGTTCATGCTATGCCTTAACCAGGGCCCCCCAGAAACTCAAACGTCTGCAACTCCACGGCCTCGGCGGACCGGCTTTCCCGCGATCCGGCTCGTAGGACGTGGTTCTTTGGACCTGAGAGGTGAAGAGAGCCAAGGGGTGAAGAGCGCCAGATGAAGGAGATGGGTGGCGATTTGGTGATGTTGATGGGTGATGGCTAGCTGCTAAGTATGGGTGATGGTGATTGGTGTGGCGTTGGTGGCTAGCTGCTAGCGAGCTCCCTCATTCGTATTGGGATTTCCATCAGTTTTGGATTGGATCACACATCTGCGTCATGGTATGGGATGGTGGGAGGTGTTCCCTCGGCTTCCTTTTTAGACCCATTTAGATATGGCTTCGACTTACGTGTTCACCTCACTTCGATGATTACCCTTGTGATCCTTATTGTAGGGAGCGACTGCACACGTTTTTGGACCTCATATGATTGAACCATCCCAAACATGTCCAATGGATGGACTACCCTCCACTTGAGGTGTAGGATTGATTCCATTGGGCACCCATTGGATGGTCGTGGTAGTCTTTGATTCCAATCCAGTGCAGCAAAGCAAGGTCTTCGGCAGGTTTCACGGCTTCACAAGTTTGCCACGGCCACAGATCGCTTGAAAGCTCAAAAGTCCGAGTCGGCTCATGCGATGTCACCGAGAAGCTCGTCAAGAACTTAAGACACGAACCCTTGTGTGTGTGTGTGTCAACCCCTGTTTCCAAGGGTTCCACCTTACAATTTCCATTGTTCACGCAGGGGGACGGGACACCACTGGCACTGCCCGTCCAACGAAGAGGGTGCCAGTAGGTGCTGAAGCAGTGGAGGACGCTCCGCTGTGTACCCGCAATGAAACTGTTGACCAGGCCGTCCAATCCTTTGATTTGATTCATGGTCTTTCATGTGATCTTTTCCCCAAACAGGTTTTCCCACCGCAGTTTTCCACCGTTCGTGAGCTGCCGCTGAGTCACTGCAGATGCGCATAAACCACTTGTCCAAACATCTACAATTTTTTCGGACTCTCCACCTTGCCGTTCTCTCACCTTCTTTCCACCTGGGAACTGAGCTAACTGAAAACCAATGTCAGAGTGTGAACCGCTCAGCCGTCCCACTTGGGTGCTGGGTGTGATCCTCCGCAAGGAGGCGCCGTTTTCATGCCGGAAATCGTGTTACAGAATCGTGAATCACCTTAACAGCCTTAGTCTCACTACTGAATTGTCGGAATCTAAAGCCGCCGGGCTTTCACGGATACCATAGCCGCCGGGCTAAAAAACAGAATTCAGTCCACTGGAGGCAGGTCTCCCAACCCCCCCCCACCGAGTTCTACTCCCTACCTAATTAGGGTAACACAGGGAAATGGTACTCGACGCACTTGTGTGTCGGTGCCTTTCCCTCTGCTGTCCCTTTGCTAGTCTACTCTACCCGGGCGGTTTAAGACTAAAGTCCCGCTCCCTAACTATTGCACGTAATTCGTTTCTGCTAAGTAGTCAGTAACCCTAGAGTGCTAGGTAGTCATACACACACACACACACGGACACGCACATGCCACATACATCCCCTCCCTGCCCCCCACTTTCTTTCTTACGCTTTTGGTTGTTTCTTGGGCTTTCTCGGGCTTTTTAGATTGTTCTTGAGGCGCGTTTCCCTACCCCAGTCAAGGGCTAAGTATTCATTTTTTCATTTGTCTAATCCTATCTTTCCCTCTTAGCGCTGCTCTTTCTGTGTTTCTTTCTTTTGTTTCTAAGGCTTTTTAGGTATCTATTCAGGCCTTCCACGCGAGCGCCGCCAAGCGGCACCGTGTGTGTGTGTGTCAACCCCTGTTTCCAAGGGTTCCACCTTACAATTTCCATTGTTCACGCAGGGGGACTGGACACCACTGGCACTGCCCGTCCAACGAAGAGGGTGCCAGTAGGTGCTGAAGCAGTGGAGGACGCTCCGCTGTGTACCCGCAATGAAACTGTTGACCAGGCCGTCCAATCCTTTGATTTGATTCATGGTCTTTCATGTGATCTTTTCCCCAAACAGGTTTTCCCACCGCAGTTTTCCACCGTTCGTGAGCTGCCGCTGAGTCACTGCAGATGCGCATAAACCACTTGTTCAAACATCTACAATTTTTTCGGACTCTCCACCTTGCCGTTCTCTCACCTTCTTTCCACCTGGGAACTGAGCTAACTGAAAACCAATGTCAGAGTGTGTTAACTCCTGTTTCCAAGGAACTTTCTTTGTACAGGAACGCAAGGAGTCCAGGCAGTTGTGAGTTGTCCCTGGACCAACGAAGACGGACTCACAACTGGTGAAGCGAGAAGGGACGACTTCTTGTGTACCTGCATTACATAATGTTTAAACTTTGGTCAAGTGCCAGTGCATTTGTTAAACAGTTCTGTTCTCCGGACCCTTTCGCCTTGCCGTTTTTGCAAGTGAAGGGCTAGGTATTCAGTAATTACCTCCCGGGAACAAACTGATATAGCTCTTGCGAGCACGGATCCAAGTGTGTGTGTGTGTTTGTTACGAAAGCCAGCCTTCGTAGAAGGCGCTAGCGGAGTTGTGTCTGGCGAACGAAGTGAGTAGTTAGGGGGTCTGGGGGGGTGGCCCGGGAAAGGTACACGTAAACTCGGCACATGCTGGGGGAGGAGGGTGCTTCGAGGGAAGGTTTTTCGAGGTTGTGTTGGAGGTGATTTTTGAGGGGTGGTGATGCAAGAAATGCCAAATGCATCATTTGCATCATCTGAATGGAAAGGTGTAGTTGGCACCTTGCCAGGTATAGAGACCCAGGGTAGCTA